AAGCGGGTTGAATTTTTTTTAAGAGGTGGGTCCCGTTTCTAAGGTTCTAAGATAGTCGAAGAGAGATCCCTAAGGCTAGATCCTAAACCCTAAGCGGAAGACTAGACCTCACTAAAAATGAGGTCAACAGATGCTTAAGCTAAATAAAACTTTATATGAGCTATTAGAAGGTACAAGTCCAAATATCTCTCATTGACATGCCTTTGGATACGCAAATACTTTGCATAGAACAATGGAAAATTTAACTTAACAAAATTTGATATCAAATGAAATGAAACTATTTTCTTTGCATACTCATTAGTAGTAAAAAAGACACAAAGTTTAAAATTTTAAAAAAATAGTAGTAGAGAAATTTACTCATATTATCTTTGATAAAATAAATCCTTCCATTGCACCTATAGATGCAGAAGAAGAAGAGGAAATACTATCATAGTCAGAAAATTTGGGATTCAATAAATAGTGGAATGAGAATTATACAATGCCTATAGAATGGAGATACTCTATGAGTCATCCCAAAGATCTTATCACAGGAGATCCATCAGTTGGTGTTAGGACTAGAAATAGTCTAAAACAAGAAGATAGTCACACTGCATTTATATCCATGATTTACTCTACCAATATAAATAAGGCCCTAGTTGATTAGTTTTGGATTAGTGCTATGTAGGAAGATTTAAATCAATTCACAAAGAATGATATTTGGGAGATAGTGTGTAGGCCACCTGATTAGAGTATACTTGGTACTAAATTGGTATTCAAGAATTTAGATCAATTGTAAGGAACAAGATTGGATTAGTGGCTATAAGATACAATCAAGTTGAAGGAAAATATTTTGGGGAGACTTTATCTTTGTAGCCCCTAGAAACCATCTGTTTACTATTAGTTTTTTCATTTAAATTGTATCAGAGATGTAAAGTGTGCCCTTCTAAATTGTGTATATAAGAAAGATGTGTATGGTTGTATAACCAATCAGAACATTATTTATCTTTGTCGCTGATCTATCCTTTCATCCGATTGCTTTGAAAGAACCAATCAAAACTAGAAGCTACTAGGGAGATTGAAGAATAAATGATCGCGAAGTACCCACAATTGTTCTAGAGCTTAGGTATGAATTTAAGGATCAAATTCTTTTAAGAAGGGTAGTATGTAAGAACCAAAATTTGTTCTTACTTTTTTCCTTACACACAATTCTTCTTTTCTTTGTTTGCTTGATTCGTTGACATCGCCTTCCCGATTTGTTCGATCCACTGACTTCACTCCCTATAAATCAAGGCCGAAGGATAGGAAGCTATCATGACATCTCGTTCGCCCTCCCTCACCCTCCTTCTATAACCTCTGATCCCTTACCGAGCTCCCCCCTCGCTTGTTTCTCTTATTTGGCCCAAAACCATCTGTTGGTAACCAAACACTCGTGACATCGTCGCGCTTGGAACTCGTTGAGAAGGCAACGACGGGATTTTGCACCTTACTCCTCATTCTGTTCGCTTCAACCCGAAACCATTGAGGAAAGTAACCCTCGTTTGTATCCCCTTTCTCCCAACCACACAGCTGTTTCTTTGAATCCCATAAATCCTTCTTTCAATTGGTTCCTAACCCGGGATTTAGGGCAAACAAAAGAGAAACGAGATTTAAGAACCTATAGGATTAGATGGCTTTTTTTATTTACTGTTTGTTAGTTTATATGTTAAGCTTGTATGTCTTCCACAACAAACTTAATTCATGAATTATATTTACCTAAAGCAAAAAAAAAAAAAAAAAAAAAAACAAAATATTTTCTTGATTTTGCCAAATTCAATTAATTCATAATTTCTTTCTTTTAAAAATTTATAATAATAAATTATTGAAGGTAATAATAATAATAATAATAATAATAATAACAATAATAATAATAATAATAATAACAATAATAATAATAATAATAATAATAACAATAATAATAATAATAATAATAATAATAATAATAATAATAATAATAATAATGTTATACTTAATTTAATGGTAAAATTTAACTGCCTGATTATTTATATCTTATTTTCTAATTAGTATAGGATCGACATTGAATCGTCGAATTCGTAGAAGTATCACGTTTGCCGCCTCGAGCTAAGTAATTACTTTTTATTAGAGGATAAATGTAGACTTCTTAGTTAGGGGCATTAATCCTCGTTATTCATAGATTTATAGTTATTTTATAGGATTGTCTGTCATGTCCTTGTTACTCATTTTTTTTTATAGACTTCAATTATTATTTATGATGAAATCACTAACCGTCTTACTATATTGTTGCAAAATTCTTGCATGATTGAGTTAATTCTATAATTAGGATATTTTCTTTTGCTTGCACTTGTATTTGAAATTTGATTTGTCATATCACAAACCTGCATTAAATATCTTATTTATTTATCTATTATACCTGCAAAAAATGTTATATGCTTGTGTGTGATAGTATGTAGGTTAGTAAAAATATTTTTAGATATTAGCTAGTTGGGCTGATGGGTTCACAGAGTGACGACTCTACGGGAAATCGTTAGGTTTACTGAGTTGGTATTGATCTTCCCAGTTTTTGGGTGTCTATTAAAACCAATTAAATAAATAATAAATGAAAAACTGAATAATAAGAAACTTAATTGTTAATGATTGCATGTTTTTTATGATAAGTAAATATATTTGATGTTAATTTCTCTCTTTTTTCTCTATGATGTTATGTATACACGTAGTAATCGTCTCTATTTGTTGTTCATATTATATGCCTCATTTATCTTGTCGGTTGTGCTTTAATCATTTGTTGTTATTTATTGAGATTATTTCTCAAATCTACTTTTTAATATTTTGCATAACATGTTCTATTCAGTCGTCAGCAAGACCGTCTCCACCGGAGCAGACTTTTAAGTTTTAGATTCTCTCTTATTATTGTTTTTCTAGCTATTCTATTCTTTTCTTTTTGTTTGGGTAGATTTTTGTTATCATTTTAGTTTTGATTAAGCTAGTTTTCTTATTTCAATTCAGTTGTATCAGTAGAATATTTGTTATGGAATAAAAATTTACATTTTTTGGTTTATTCCTATCGTTATTTGCTTGCAATCTCTTCTTTGAAAATATAAAACAGGTTTAATTCATTTCATCATGCCTTGCATTATCAGGGTGTACCTTCTTTTTGACCTGGGGTGTGACATACTAGTCTTTAGATATTTTATAGGATTATCAATTTCCCTTTAGTATTAATTATATTTTATACATATGTGAGTAGGGTCTACAGTTGACTTGTCTTTATGCACTGTTACATAAATTTTTATTTATTAAATTAATTTTTGCTATCATAATATTTTCTTATCATACATATCACCTCAATGAAATGCACTATATTTTATTCATGCAGCTCATATTTTGATAGATTAATTATACTGGTCATATAACAACAACAACAACAACAACAAGTCTTTATCCCACTAAGCGGGGTTTAATTATGCTGATCATATGCTTATAAATTACATGTTGAAAATTTTCCTTTGAAGTATTTAAATTTATGTCTATATGTAGTGGAGTGTAGATAAGTAGAATATATTAAATTTTGACTAGTAGACCGATGAGCCCGTAGAATTACAACTCTTTAAGAAAATCATTTACTTTTTCATATGTTGGTGTTTTTTTTAACGGTTTCAGGTTATAGACGTGTAAATAAATGTACCATTAATCAATAAATGATTCTTGAATCACAATTAGAATGTTATAATCATATCTGGTATAGTGATTATGGATGATAGCATAAAAAGTTTATTGATTATATTATATATATATATAAATGATCAATCACCATAAATCATCTTAGAATATGAGACTTTTTATTTATGCAATGTTACTTTGGTCTGACGATTTAATGGTACTTAAATATCTAATGTAATATTATAGTTCGTACTCTTTCATTGCTCCTGTTGTATGCCCTCATAGCTTATTGTTTGGAATGAAACTTATTCATCTTCATTATTTTCTTATATTATGTTTATACCTATTAATATAAGAATTTATCTTTTGTGAATAAAAAATAAATCTTTTTATCTTATCTTCATATTTCATGTTGCTGGATATTCAGTTTTCTGGAATTGAGGTGTGCTAATATATATACTTGAATTTTTGGTTGAGTAAGTTTTTTGTTCCTCCCTTCGATTGCTAAGGGAAACAGTTTCACCAAGTTTTACACTATTTCCTCTGCTCATTTGCGTACTGTATTCCTAGCCATTTCAACAAAACTAAATTTTTGTAAAATATTATTTAATTCCTGCCAAAAATTAATTTTTGATTTTCACCTACCATCATTTAATAATCAAATACTGGAAAAATTTCACTCATTATGAAAAAGGTGCTCTCTTAGTTTTCATACATGTTAGCTTTTCTGCATGCCTTGCTCAGCACAGCCATGTGAAATTTGTTTTTGTATGAACATAATTCCCTTAATGTTAAAAGGAATTGCAACTACCTTTTTTTTTCATGTTTTTTTTAATGGTGCAATATGAGGCCTGACGTTACTCTCAACCAAGCATGCTATCTACAGAGTTCTCTGAGGAGACTCGATGCACTGGTACTGATATGGCCTCTTTCACATCTTCTATTGTTTCCATCAAAACAATTGCATCTTTCACGCGCTTGGCATGATAACTAATAAAAGGTGTAGATTATCATCATTCATTTGTTTTTGTAAATAATTATGGCATTATTTGTTTATACGAACTTATTTTCGGAGTGATCATACTCGTGAGATACATATTGGGGCATTAACATACACACCACAAAGTTCTTATATATTTACTTATCAAACACCCAAGCTTTCATATTTACATGCATACCACTCAAATTTTTAACATCACATGAAAAATATTACTATTATTAACTTTTTTAAAATGAAGCACACCTTTTCATTCATAAGTTAATGTAACTATCAAACTTTAGATGTCAGATATGTAAATACATCAGAATTGTGAGGTATGTATGTAAATTTCCTTATATTGCCATAGGTTTTGCACGTGGTGGTCTCTTTTGCAAGAAAGCAACTGCTTTTGGTCACTAGCTATTAGTGTTTGTACTATTGGTTGGACCAAAGCAACCTTAGATGCATTGTTATTGATGACCGGTATAAATAACGAATTCTCTTACTGTCTTTTCAATTTCTATTTCTGTAACTAGAAAATTTTCCTTTTTTTTCTTCTGTGTAGGCTGTCTAGCCCTGCTCTCAGAACACCTTACACAGTCCCTCGGCTGTATGTGCTTCATTGTCTACGGTTGGCTGCAGTTATGATGAGCCTAGCATAATTAGAGGGGAATAATGGTGGAAAACTATAACTCTAAGCTCATTGTCAAGTTCTTCGTTTCTGTTAATAATTAGCCTTAATTATAAATAACCGAGCCTTTCCTATCTTGTGATACAGTTTTTCTTCATCATTCTATTGCATCATTTCTCTATATTCAATGACATAAAACTGCCACTCTTCAATAAATAAGGGAACAAAAGAAAGAAGGCAGAAGCAAAACGTTTTAAAAAGAAGGAATTCATGACAGACCAGCCAATAATTATACACCAGAGAAGTGAATCAGCCCAAAAAAAAAAAGGTTCAGATCGAGGAATGAAATCCTATGAGCTTCTACAATACTGAAGAGTCATTAAATGGTCATCGCAAGGGGATGCCGGCAGCAGTGTCAACGACGTCGAAGTTTCTCGGAGCCGCCATATGCTATCGCGGATATGCTGCAGCGTTAGGAAGGGGTGTAGAGGTTGACCCCGGCATGAAATCTCCACCTGATATGGATTCCATATGAAGCAATGTTAGGTCATCAATTTTACAAATTAATTGTGAAAATGTGATCATTAAAGATAACATGCATGTCAAGGTAAATTATGTTGTAATGTACCAGTCAGAACTGTACTCATCAATTTTATAACTTAATGTAGTGATTGCATTACTAAAGGGCATTTACATTCATACCACCCACTTCCACTTCCCATGTATTTACATATTTGACATCTAATTTTTACTTTTTATAATTATATTTATAGGTAAGGTGGCATGTATGTAAAAACTGAAGTTTAGGTGTTAGATATGTAAATATATATGAATTGAATGATATGTATGCAAATCTTCCTAATGGTATTTTACTGCAGGGCTATAATAAGAGGTGGCGACGCCATAAGAGGCGCAGCCTCCAGCCCTGCCAAGCTTACATTTGCATTTGAAAATTTTCTCCGGTCAGCGGTCAGCCTGCATCCTGCCAACCCTGCCCGGGTACCCGCGCCGGAGGGCTTGCAAATTGCTATCATTACGCTAACCCTACTGTCTCTCTCTCTATCTCTATTAACAAAATGCCGTGTGGGAATCTCGATGCAGCACGAACGGTTTACATTAAGCACATAATAAAGTAATTAATATGGCCTAAACTGATTTTATTGTCTGCTTAGTAAATAAATAAATAATTAATTAAAGCCGGCTAAGGTCGCGTACAGCCCAGTTGCCCATCTCTGATTAGCTGTTGTGAAGTCTTCTCTGAAAACAAAGCTTGTAAAGCTAGTAATGTAGAGAGAGAGAGAGAGAGAGAGAGGAATAATAGGTGGCGGATCCAAGAAGCACGCCGGGGGAATCGGAAAGAAAAAAAAAATAAAAAATCTTTATTCACTATTTATTTCAACGGGCATTTACATTATTACATATATGTCATGTAATTTTTTGGTATTTACATATCTAACAGCTAAACTTTCATATTTACATAAATAACACTCAGAAAGTTTAGTATCACATCAAAAAGACCAATTATACTTACTTTTTAAATGTGAACTACAATTGTTCATATATATATATATATATATATATAAGACCCCAAAGTGTGTAAATGTAAATATAAAGTCTTAGGTGTTGGATATGTAAATACATAAAAGTTATGTGGTATTCATATAATTTTCCCTCTTATTTTATTTATTTCTAATTAGAAAATCTTCCCCCCCTTAACCTAACATATATTATACCACAGCAAATCGCATGCACGTCTCTTTCATGTTAGCATCTCTCTCTCTCTCTCTCTCTCTCAAACTCGCATCCCTTCAAATTGGACCAACACGAAGAAGAAACAATAATCTGAGAAAATGTGAGATGATGGGAGGCCTCAGACCAAAGTACCATCAAATTATAATAAAAGCATAAATTAAATATAGGTGTTAGGTCTATAATATTACACTGAATGATTTTATAGTAAATCTATAATAGCACCACGTAGAATAATACATAATAAAGTGAGGCAAATGTAATCACATAATGTTTGTTAATTCTGCTTACCTAATATTCACCCCTTCATTTCTAGAAGTATTAATGATTCAATTATTTTTCTTTACTAAGTAATATATAATCATAATTTTCATATATATTAGAAAAAATATGAATTGGGATATCTGAACAAGTTTTCATCATGAATTTTTTTTATTATAATTTTTATTAAGATATATCTAACAAATTGTTAAATATATTTTGAGATAAATATAATAGATGTATATATGGGAATATTTATGTACATCCCTCATAATTCTTGTATATTAAAATATTTAACACACAAACTCTCCTATTTACATGCATGCCACTCAAAATTTTAACATCACATCAAAAACATCACCATCGCTATTTTTGTAAAGGTGAAACAACTTTTGGCATAGGTTTATGACACCAAGGTGTTGAAAATGTAAATAGCAAACTTTAAGTGCCGCAATGTAAAAAAATAAACAATGTGCGGTATGTATATGTAAAACTCTCCTTAATATATAGCTGAAAAGAATTGGATACTACCCATGCATTCGTTTAAAAAAAAACAGCTAAAAGGCAGTGTATTTATTTTATGTTGCAAGGAAGACATGTGGAGCAAACAAAAGGTAGAACAAGTGGTCCCTTCCTCTTTGTTTTTGTCTCTTAATGCTTTCCATTTCCATAACTTAGGAATGTTTCTGCCCTAGACATGTAAAAAGCTCTCTCTCCCGCATAGCAAATGCTGTTTTTCTTTTATTTTTTAGTATTTTATTTAGTATTCTAATTGATTATGATTATTATTATTATTATAACAAAATAATACTGCTTTGTTGTATTGTGGGTGGTATGGCGTGTTGGCCTTTAAATTATTGCAGCCATAGTGCAGCACTCATGCTTTTGTTAACTCCTCTAATGGCAAAGCACATAGAAAGAGAATAGAATCCCCCATGTTAGGTGTTCATAGGCCGAGGCAATGGAGGTGAAAGCGTGATGACACGAGGCTTTTTGAGGGGGCATGCAAATGGTCATAGACGTGTATCTGCACTTGCCCTTTTCATGGCATATATAATTAAATAATATTTGATTTGCCCTTTTAAACAGTTTATAATTTCATTTGTTTTAGTGTTGGGCTCCATGCATGGCGTCACACTCAGTTCCAAGATTCAATGCATTCCATGCAAGCATAATCAATATGCCATTAATGAAAAAAGTGTTTTTGGATATCAATTATAAATGGTTGGATTGGGTTAATCAAGCTATTATGAGAGCCTGGATTAGATTGATCGATAAGTTGTTGACTATAAATGTGCTAGACCTGTCTTCAACTCATGAACTAGGTTTTGGCAGCTAGTAGTTCATATCTCTATTGCTGTTTTTTTAGTTCGTAAGTTTGACTCATGTTCCTCTACTCAACTATTATTTCATGAAAAAAAATCTAAATGTATTATTGATTGTCTCGTGCACCAAATATATATATATATATATATATATATATGTTATTTGTAGTATATATATATATTCATATGCTATATTTCTATTGTAGTTCTTGCACTCCCTTTAATAGATATGGATACGTTAAGAAAAAAATAGAATTCCTTACAATTTGAAAATCGTCAAACTTGAAGCGTTGTCTGAAATGTAGAGTCATTCTGAATGCCATAAAGTTGCCAATAAATTTGTCTTTATTTGACTCTTAGGCAAAAAATTGTCATTCACAAAGGCTATATGCCCAAGATACTCAACAAGTCATCTAAGATAATCACTAACTAACTAGGTTTATCAAATGCCAATTCTCATTTGTCTAAAAATCATGCTTATTAATTAACCATAAATTATAATTGCATGCTACATAACTAGCTACATTGAGCTCTATTTATCTACTCACTAAATAATCATATTATCTATTGATGATGCAAAACCAATTTTGATCTTTGTCAATTCAAAAAGGGTCAAGTATAAGAGTGAAGAACTCTTTGCTTATGATAAGTGAAGGTCTCAAAATTATGTTTGATAGTCTAATGAAATTATTTATCAAAAAAACATTTTAATATTCTTATTATTTTCATATAGGTATCACATTCACCCCTCTTGCTTCCAACTTCATTATCACTACTACATACTGTAGTTGTCTTCATTCGCGATGTTACTTCTCTATAAATTAAGTTTAATCACCAAATTCATAGGATTCTTCAACTCAACTTTGAGACCGCCTCTCATACAAATACCAATTGTACTCTTCAACATAATCATACAGGGAAGGAGAGATCAGATGTTAGATTACGTTTTTTTAGATATATAACTGGGCTAGCTTAGTTGATTTTTACTGTTTTGAGCTAGGAACATAGAAGCCAAAGATGAATTTTTACTATTTTGACTTAGGAACATAGAAGTCGAATTTTAGAGGAAAATCTAAAAAATTTTGGTGAGCTGCTGTGCTAGAAATGAAGGCTGAAGTATTTGAGCTTGTTGAGCCTAACATCACTTCTTACATGATGGGGAAGATGAACATGACAAAGATATTTTTATTTACCAAAAAATATTCATAAATCAAAATCTACAAAAATATTATTAAAAATACAACTAATGCTAACATTTTTTGCTTATATACTCCATTTTAAGAGGCATCAGGCAATACAATTTTAAAAAAACCTACAACATCAACTTTCATTATGATGACTTTTTTATCCTAAAGAGCCCTGAATTAATTCTTTCACATTAACATCTATGTTCCTCATACAATGTAGAAACAATGAAGGTCAAGACTAACCTCATGATGAGATTCTTGTCCAAATTAGCTCATTCTTGATTTCATGAAATTTTATTATCATGATACCTTTTGACCTGGATTCATTGACGTGTTATATAATGACTTAAGAAATTTTCTTAGGCAAACCTATAAGGACATTAGTAGACATATTTATCTTGTTTTTATTTTATTATAGTGCCTTTTATTGCATGACCGAAGACATTTAAATTAGACAGTTTATATACAATGTACTTCATCTATTTGCCAATTTTTTCTCACCTCCAAGCCCACTTTAAGAATCCTTAACATCTTCAAATATCTCATTTCTATGTCCAAATCTTGTAATTTACCCTCAAGAATTATTATATTGGACTATATATTCTTTAGAAAACATTGCTACAACTATTCCCTAGATTAATCCATTTAATAAGATTTTTAGAATATTTTATGCCATAAACCAGATCATCTTTTGCAGCTATATAAACTAAAACATATATGTCATTAGCATAACCAACAATATTTCAACACTAAAATCTTTCTTTCCTTTTTGTTGGAGATCTCTAATTCTTATTACTTCGAAATGATGTTGAACGATATACACAATCTACCAAAATGATATGCTAGTTATAAGAAAATTTGAAAATAAAAATGCTTTGACATTCTTAAAACAAGATTCTAACTTATTAGGGGTTAAAGCTATAAAAAAATATTATGTCAATGTATGTATTCATTAATTCAATAGATATAGCCTTTTAAAATGATGATAGTTAT